TCAAACAGTGGAAAGGGGAGAAAAGGCTTTTAATTAAATCCCTGTCGCCGTCGTCATCGCCGTCGTCGTCGTTAGCGTGCGCCCCGGTCACAGCTTACATGTGACGTGCTAAAGAGCTGACAAGCACTTTTTATTCCGACGTTATTAACTTTTTAAGCACCCAATTACATCGGCTGTTGTGCCAGCACACAGCTTAGAATCAACCCCCCCCCCCGGCGACTTTCACTCGGGCGATCATTGTCCCCGCCCCCTCGAGTGCGGCCAGTGAAGCCCGAACGTTAGCATGATTTTCAACTCCCTGACGCAATTATCCGCAATTATCCAATCAAACAAAAAGCTCTTAACAAGTCACTGCGTTTTTGCAGGCGCTCCGCAGTTTCCGCTTGGCTGCGGTAGCCGAATTATTGCTGCCCTCAGTCTCCTCACCATGGCCGAGCGAGGCAGCCGAGCTGATCTGCGCCGGAATGGATTGTCAGAAGCGGTTTTTGGATCGAGGCCTTAAGACTTCAAAGGCCGAGTCAGCATCCTGAATTTCAGATTACGACTGACATTGGGACCGTCAAGCGTGGAGATGCGCTCGATTTGGATGCAACCGTCCGATACAGACACCGGAGTGGAATCTAGACCGGCATTGTCATTTCGCCGAAGCTAAGATTCTTGCGTCCACGTGCTGCTTCTGCCAATATTTTGGTCTGCATCATTTCATGGTGTCTAATGAGGTCAACCACTCCAAACTTACACTTCCCAAAAAAAATTTGGGGGAAATGTTTTCGGGTCTGAACAAAAATGTGAAGTGGGATTATGCCCACGTTACGTGGCAGATTTCCCCCCAAAAAATTTGGGGGGAAATGTTTTCGGATCTGAACGAAAATGTGAAGTGGGATTATGCCCACGTTACGTGGCATGAATACAGCCAACGTGATCTCATCTCTCCTGTCGAGAACTTTCATGCGGTCGGTCACACTTTGCTTCATACATGAGAAAAAAAAAAAAAAGCAAATAACATTTCTCTTTCCTTTGAAAAAGGCAAAGCGGGGGCTTCCTGCAACAAAAGGACACTTAATTCCTCCTGACGATTTAAAAGTGACGCACCGGTCTCAGCCAAACCCTGCACTTGACAAATATATACACTATTTGCTTTTAATCTTCTTATTGAGTCCAACTCTGGCTCAGGGAAGGAGAAAAAAAAAAATGGAAATCGCATACCGAAATGAGGAGTAATTCGAATTTGCTCAGGCTGCTTGTCTGTCAGCGACCGTGTCCAATTTTTAAAGATGCGCCCGGTGAAGTGGTCAGCGCGCTATAGAGAAGCTCGTATCAGGCGGCGCAGCGGTGCCTGGGGGGTGGGGGTTGGGGGGGAATCTCCTTTCCTTCTTTGGGCAGGAAAGCTCGCTTTGAATGAGCTCTTATCATGCACGTGCGTTCCCAACAAAGGCAACATTCGCGTGTAATTACACCTTGTTCAATTGCATTTTCTGTACTGCCGCAGTCCATATAAACAGTACATGAGATCTAAAAAGGCGACACACCCCTGTTCAAAAAGCAGGTTTTTGCCAAATGATTCTACAACTACAAACCGTTCAGGGTGTCCTTCGTCTAGTGGCCAAAGACAGCCGGGGTGGGCTCCAGCACGCCCCTCGACCCTTGTGAGGATGAAGTGGATCAGAAAATGGATGGATGGAAGAGGAGTCAAAACAAACTGTGAAAAAAAATGTGGTTGCACAAGTGTTCACACCCTATCATAAACACACGTGTGCTTCTGTTCAGAACTGACCAATCACATTCCAATTTGTGTTCGATTGGCACCCGACCTATGCCCGAAACACCCAGCATGGCGCCTGCACAAAAATCCGGATATGCCGGCAAGTGCGCACGTATCATCTATTAAAATTAAGCCCATTGTGTTTATTCGCACACATACAATGAGCCAACCCATTACACAGTATATTCAACAAAAAGCTCAATTTCTTACTGAAGCAACCAAAGACCTCCTGGCTTGTCGTAAAGTGTTCAGTAATGTGGCACCTTATCCATTTCTTAATGCACAGAGCTGTTTGGTATCCAAGCAATAAATCGCTGGCGGAATAATGGCTCAAGAACTGTGATTGCAGTGACACAGTCAACCATTTAAATACATTTGTCGCCTTCTCTACTTTGACGCAAACTGATGTGCGTCGAGGTGAATCGAACTCAGCGTGCACATTGTTTAACTGCATTGAAGGCTGTTATTCAAAACGTTGTTGCTATGGCAACGGCGCTCAGAAGATCAGGGCTCACAGGTGTGCGCCACAAAAACACAAAACCTTAAGTGGGTTGGAAGAGGTAGAAATATTTTGAGGCAACGCTCCTCGATCTCCTCATTTCATGGAGGTTTCTCAAAACAACTTTGCACTCTCTCCCGCCCGCACGGAGCACGTACTAAAACCTTTTGATGACGTATAGGTCGGCTGTGTACGGATGAGCGCTCATACTGCAGATGCGTCGTACACGTGTCCGATTTATATCCACGTGAATTGAAGCAAATGCTTTGTTGAATGGACTCCATTTTATTTTGTCAAGTCACTGCAGGAAATGAAATCATCTGAATACCGATGTATTTTGAAAACACAATTTGAAAATAAATCCTAATTGTACGTCACAATCGCAATTGAGCTGCAATGTGACCAAAGCCTAATTTGACACATTTATTCTTTTTTTTTTTTCTCATGTAAAATGTGGACCTCTTCAAAGAGTAGGATTTGATTCTGACTTCAAACATTGAACACTGAAATTAGAATGATTTTATTTTGAAATTAGAATATGTGAATGTTGTTGTTTTTTTTTTTTTTCTTGTGAAAAATGTGCCATTCACGGAAAAAGTGAAACTTCCCGCGGATCACACAAATGTAAAAGTCGGAATGCACACAAAGCGGCAGAGTCATAAATGTGGAATTTTTCATTCCCACAACAAGCATGACAGAGAAAGACTGAGCGAAGAGTTGCGGGATGAAGTAAGTGCAAGAACGACAAAGTCTCTCTTTTCCTGTTAATCTCGTCTGGTTTTAACAGCTCATTGGTGCCATTTCCACCATCTTTGCCCCCCTGATATTTACACTCATTTGCCTAATACTGTCTATTCGGACTTTTGAGACTATTTCGCACGAGCAAAACTCATTTAAAAAGGACTCAGTGAATTGGGGGGGGCTTACGTGGTCATAATGGCCATCCAACTGTGTAATTGGTCATTTCAAACTGATGAGGCAATTTGATGATGACAGTGTGGCGCATTGAAAGTGACTGACAGCTGAATGGAGAAGCAACATGGCCGCCGCAAAAAGCAGATTATGTCGTTTAAAAAAAAAACACACACACACACACACACATACACACACATTGTCACACAGGCTCCAAAACAAACCAAAAAAAATAAAATAATGTCGATCCTTTGTGTGTGTCTTTTGCCGTGTTTTTTTTTTTCTTTTTCATGGCAAAGGAGATTAGCTGTGAAAAATCCGAGTTAACCACGACGACGAGTGAAGGACAGCTGGTTTTAAAACGCTGAAAAGTGCCGGCGTGATTTCGCCGATAGCATCCGACACGCCGCCGTCTGCGCTTAAAGGCGCGCGAGGGGTTTGTGACCTTCTTTCTTTCTTTCCCTTGACGGAGGTCACCACGGCATAGTTTGTGTCTGAGTACGCAGAGCCCCCACTCAGCTGCTGCCATTCCAAAAAGTGCTTAAAACCCCCGCCGCAAGGGGAGAATAACCTTTTCTCAAACGGAATCGTCACGTGTCAGGCGCTTTGTCGAGCATCGGAATTGTTGAACTCCACACGACTCGACGAGGATCAGGTTTTTTCGAGGGGGAAGAAATATCGACTTCATAAAACAGAGAAGTCGGCTTTCAGGGACTGAATTTTTCTACGTTTTTCAATGCACTTTTACAGCAAATGCAGAGAAATAACTTGACCGAGGTCGGGGGTCAGGCCAATCCGGTCATCCACCACGGAAAATGTGGTTATAAATTTTCATTGAATGATTATGTATGTCGACATCATGCACGATCTGTGCATACTTTGATTTTATATTTTTAAAATATTTTTAATGTATTTATTTTTATTTTATTTTTAGATTATTTATATTATTTTATTTAATTTAAAAAAATCAAAACATGAGCATATTACCGGCCGCGATGTTAGTTTTCCATTGGTATGCCTTCGGTCGGGAGTGCAGTGCGAAAAGATGCCCCAGCACAAGTCATTCAATACCGCTAAAAGAGTGTGAAATGCGAGCGTATAAAACCTGGAAGATCCTTTCAACACCCGCACTCTGGCGGCATTCGAAAAGCGTTATCTGATAGCTAATGATCTACCCGGAATAAAGACAGCGCGCCATTACTGTAAGGGGATTAGCGTCGGGTGGATTTTAGGCAGGCTGTCGATTGGCCACTTGAGCTTTTCCTGAAAAGCCAAACAAGGAAAATGAACGGCGAGGAGAGAAGCCGGCATGACCACATTACACACGGAAAGTAAGGACATTTAATCCGACGTCGATTTGCAAAAGTTCCCTTCAGATATGCCGGCGACATCATCAGTGGCAAATTTCCCCGCCCCGACGTTGCCACGGCCGCTGCGCATGCCAATGCGCTGACGTCACGGGCGGCCGCGGTAACTCGATAAGCACTCAAGGCCGGTAATGATAAAAGCTTCGGCGTAACGCTCACATTCACAGATGACAGGCTGGATAAATCGCACGCCTTGAATTCGCTACTTCCAAGATGGAGAGGCATGTCTTTCTCTTAGCATTTCATGACGACATTCTATTTAGACGGGAAGAAAGGTGCATTCAAAGTAACTTCAATCCCAGATGACAAAATAATTGTGTGCAGCTCTTGCTTTGAAACGCAGCAATTACGCTCTTTGCAAAAAGTCGGGCGGAGTGGACTTCAGGGTGGAATTTCAGAATCAACTTGATCTTCACTCTCACCTTTACGGGTCCACTTCATTTGTCCAAATGCCCGATGGTTGATTGTTTCATTTCTTTTTTGCACGACTCGCTGTTCTCAACGGTAACATTCACCACACTATAGTTCCAAGGACGTCCGCTTCGATGCCTTTCTGTGACTCTTCCAGTCTCTCTCTCTGTGACAGTGCAAGCTCGGAGGTTGGGCAATGGTGAGGTGTCGTCCTTGGACTCATGAGGTTAAACAGCAAAGGGTGGCGGGCAGCTTAAATGGCAATTCTTAGCGAACGAGGAAATGTTTCGGTCCACTGAGGGATCCAACACTGGCGGCCGTTCAGCTTCTTGCTTGAAAACAGCAAGTTGGGGTGGATCGGGGGAAAAAAAAATTTGCATGCAAACGTTTAGATGTCGAAATAAATGTATCTGTACCTGTGACTGTTTTCGCTGTTTTTGTACAAGGGTAAAGAGTGAACTCATGCTATTTTGGGGGGTGGGATGCAGTGTTTCATGAAGCTTCGTTTTCCCATCGCTGGAGTTACCCACAACCGTGCCACACTCAATGCAGGAAAATGTGTTTTATATTCAAGGAAATCCGAGATCGGTCACAGCAAAATTTCAAACGCGAAGTCCCTTTTCCACTGCATTTAAAGCGTCCTGCTTGAGCGTCCGTCCCAGAAGCAGTCGCAGCCACTTACAGTAAAAGCCATTCATTTGAATTTCAGCACGTCAAAGGACTCCTGTGCAGGAAATCACTTGGACTTTCCCCAGCGTTGACATTTGCACTCAGCACAATTCCAGACCAACTATTGACAGTTATTGACTGCTGTCAAAATACCCGGGGCTTCGAAGAAGAAGAACAAGAAGGCCGCCTTCTTTATTATCGACTAGAGCTGCGCCTATAATTATGTGGCCACTACATTGTACGTGCGCACTTCCAAAATTGCAGCGCTCGGCGCCAGCTGCAAAGTCCCCCCATCGATGCTCCGCCGCCGGTGTTGCCCACCCCGACTGATGGCAATAGACGGCTGACGGCTGTGGCCTCAGTGCAGCGGTTTTGCCGCATGCAGGCATCAGCCAGTTCTCAATCGCGCGGCCGCCGTACAGTATGTGGCTGATGAGTCGTCTGGCAGCGCGCTCAACTGCTTCTTTTCGGTGACCTTGCATCTTGAGTTGAAGGAAAACGGCTCAGCATGCCAAAAAGCAAAACATTTCACAGGTTAAAAGGAGCAAAGTGATTTTGTAGAGTGCTACAAAAAAAAAGGCAGAATCGCATCGGCGGTACGGTATGTTTGCCGGGGCTCTTATTGGGTCGCTTTTTTTTTTTTTTTTCGTGATTTCAATCGTGTATCTGTTTGCTCCTCTTCCCCTTCCGTTTTTTGCCACGCAATGTCGCCTGGCAACAAGTTTGTTCTGTCTGTGTCGCGTGAAGGCCTTTTCACTGAGCAGAGCACGATCGAACGCCCTGCCGCGCTGCCGGGCGACACACAAGCTGGCATTTAGGCCGCTCCTCAAACTGAAAACAAAGGATCAATTCTGGAGCGACGTCTAGAGAGAGATTGGCGGAGTGATTTCGGTATGACAGGACCAAAACCTTTTCCAAAACTTGATCAGAGAATGGAGATGTGCCGTCCCGGGGTTGTGAGCTTTGGCATTCAAGTGAAATGTCCAAAAAAAAAAAAAAGCTTCCACGCTACTTCCTGGTAGGCCGCCAAACGACAACTTGTGCAAAAAAAATTGCAATGTGCCAGTGTAAAAAATCAAAAACATTGGTATTTTCAATACTCGGTTTATATTCAATACAGAGCAGTTATTTCATTGTAAAAAAAAAAAATATATATATATGTCTGTGAATGTTGTTCCTATAATGCTAAGAATGCGTGTCTCGCTGACTTGGTCCTCCTGCCGCTTCTCCGTGTCCCTTTTTTGTGGCATTTTTTTTTGTTGTTGTTTTTTCGTACAATGTATTCCACAAGAACTTTGCAAAGGTGTGGTTACGTGTTGTGCAATCCAGACAGTTTTGCACGTGAAATAAGCTTTAAAAGTCTTCCTTTATCATTTGATGTTTCATCCAGCGCAGTTGTTTATGCTGTCAAATGAATGTTTACAAAGCGCGTCTTATCACCATCAGAGTGTCGTGTTTAACCGTTCTGTGTGCGGCTGACTTTGACTTTGACGCCTGCATCTTGCTTTGCTCCATGCGGTGCATTTTTAGCAGCCTCGTCTGCCTAGCAACAAGTTGAAATTATTTGCTCGAGTAATAGAAAACACATTTGAGTCACCGTTTTGTCTGTTGCCACAGGAGTGCCTGCGTATTTTTTTTTTTTGGGCCAAACTCCTCCCCGTCCTTCCACTGTTGTCCGGGGCGGCGAGGCTGCCAAGGAAACCAAACATGATTTTATCTTTTTAGGTTTGCCTTGAGCAAGCTCCAACTTCATTTCGGGGTATCTCAGCAACATGATTCACCCGTCATACGTGAGCCGGAATGTTGAAAGGTAGATTTTTCTTCATTAAAGAAAATGAGCTGGAAAATGAAGTTTGAAAGGCGGCGGCCCGAGAAGCTGCCAGTGTAATAAGTGAGTCATTGCTATTGATCAACAACCGCTATCAGGTCCCCCTAGATCCATTATGCTCATTTTGCGCATCAGGGAAGCAGAGATCATATCGCGTCGTTGTAATCTTGGCGTTGAATATCAGCAGAGTAATTACTTTCCTTTGAGGGCGAGGCGGAGCGTCTTTCGAGGTGTATTAGCGGACCGCCGCGACCCCGCCGACGCGCCGCCGATGCGTGCTTGGCAGCGGCCTTGCCGTTGATTGACTCGTCTCCAAAGTGGGAGCCATACGTCTCTGTCAGCCGAGCCCGGCCAACGCCGGGCCATTAGCGCTTGTTTTTTTGCACGCCGCATTAAAATGCAATCAGGGTGACTTACGGGTGGTCGGCGGCATATTAAGGCCGGGTCAACGCCAACCCTCTCCCACCGTTGACTTAAGGCCGGACACCAATTTCAAGGTCATTAACAGCAATTTGTTCTCACGGCCGTCCGGGAAAGTCGGATTTACTCGCTCGCCCATCTGTGTGTTCATATGTAGAGCTGATAAATGCTGCACGTTTGAGAGACTGTGCCAGAAAAACAAGAGGAGACCATCCAACTTTCATCAGACACTTTCATTTTGTGTATTTTTTAACGTGATTTATTTATTTAACAAACAGCTTGGAGGGTGTAGGTGCCCAGTGACCGTTCTATGGATCTAAACGCCTTTCATTTTCACGAGGATTCAAATTTGACGCAGTTGCTGCGCCTGCTGTACATCATGAACAGACACACGAAAAGGTCTCAAAGACTCACGACGGGAACTAAACAGTAACTCGGCCACACGCCTTCTCATGCGCTCCCAACATGGCACCAAAGTTTCATGATCATTGATTGAAGTACCGTATTTCCCGCACTATTAGGCGCACCTAAAAGCATTCCATGTTCTCAAAAGCCGACAGTGCGCCTTATAATCCGACGCGCCTTCTATGTGGATCACTATTCTGGTTTCTTAGACGTAGTATTTTAAATGTTCTGTAAAGCGCTTTGTGACAGCTGCAGCCGTTGTAAAAGCTTTAGATAAATAACGCTGTATTGTATTGTATTCCCTCTAGCGTGAAAGCTTGGTGTTAACCAAGCAGGGCCGCGATTTATCGCCGACGAAGTAAATTGAGATCGAATCTTCAATATTTCAGTGCATTAATTGTGACATTTTGGCTTGATTGCGTGCCCTGAAATCTTTCCAATGGCTCAATAAGGGTTGCGAAATGCTGTTCCAAATTCAGCTGTGGAGCGGGAGTGACATGTGTTTCTTCTTGAAGCCGTCTCGCCTGAACAGAGAGTGACCGGTGTGAAAAGGAGCTCACATTTGTTTGAAGAAAAGCGTCCGCTGAACGGCCTTCATAATTTACTGCTGATACTTTCCCAGCCGCACTGTGTTTCACACACACACACACACACACACACACACACACACACACACACACACACACACACACACACACACACACACACACACACACACACACACACAAAGTGGGAGCCATACGTCTCTGTCAGCCGAGCCCGGCCAACGCCGGGCCATTAGCGCTTGTTTTTTTGCACGCCGCATTAAAATGCAATCAGGGTGACTTACGGGTGGTCGGCGGCATATTAAGGCCGGGTCAACGCCAACCCTCTCCCACCGTTGACTTAAGGCCGGACACCAATTTCAAGGTCATTAACAGCAATTTGTTCTCTCGGCCAGCCGGGAAAGTCTGATTTACTCGCTCGCCCATCTGTGTGTTCATATGTAGAGCTGATAAATGCTGCACGTTTGAGAGACTGTGCCAGAAAAACAAGAGGAGACCATCCAACTTTCATCAGACACTTTCATTTTGTGTATTTTTTAACGTGATTTATTTATTTAACAAACAGCTTGGAGGGTGTAGGTGCCCAGTGACCGTTCTATGGATCTAAACGCCTTTCATTTTCACGAGGATTCAAATTTGACGCAGTTGCTGCGCCTGCTGTACATCATGAACAGACACACGAAAATGTCTCAAAGACTCCCGACGGGAACTAAACAGTAACTCGGCCACGCGCCTTCTCATGCGCGCCCAACATGGCACCAAAGTTTCATGATCATTGATTGAAGTACTGTATTTCCCGCACGATAAGGTGCACCTAAAAGCATTCCATGTTCTCAAAAGCCGACAGTGCGCCTTATAATCCGACGCGCCTTCTATGTGGATCACTATTCTGGTTTCTTAGACGTAGTATTTTAAATGTTCTGTAAAGCGCTTTGTGACAGCTGCAGCCGTTGTAAAAGCTTTATATAAATAACGCTGTATTGTATTGTATTCCCTTTAGCGTGAAAGCTTGGTGTTAACCAAGCAGGGCCGCGATTTATCGCCGACGAAGTAAATTGAGATCCCTTCAATATTTCAGTGCATTAATTTTTGTGACATTTTGGCTTGATTGCGTGCCCTGAAATCTTTCCAATGGCTCAATAAGGGTTGCGAAATGCTGTTCCAAATTCAGCTGTGGAGCGGGAGTGACATGTGTTTCTTCTTGAAGCCGTCTCGCCTGAACAGAGAGTGACCGGTGTGAAAAGGAGCTCACATTTGTTTGAAGAAAAGCGTCCGCTGAACGGCCTTCATAATTTACTGCTGATACTTTCCCAGCCGCACTGTGTTTCACACACACACACACACACACGCACACACACACACACACACACACACACACACACACACACACACACACACACACACACACACACACACACACACACACACACACACACACATAGCAATCTTGATTCATTTGCTGTTGGACTGAGAAGCTTCGCTTGCAATTTGAGGCGCGATAATGTAATCTCGGGATGGGCCCCGTTGTCGAAGCCGGAGTGAGATGACACTCTGCCGTGTGCCTCGCTGATTACTCCGCACTCGGAGGAGGTGGAACACACACACCCCCTACCCCCCCCAAAAAAGTATCTTTCTTCAATTGTATGTTTCTATTTCCATTCTCACCTCATCCATCTGCCTAGCTACCCGCAATAAGGTTGCCAGAATTGCCACTCTCCTTCTTTATCTTCATCGCCTGCAGCGCTGCACTTTTTATCTCTACTGGAGGTTGCTTTCTGTATGCTTTTGCTCCTGTGTTTTTTTTTTTTTACCCCCCCCCAACACATGTCTGGACACCTCAGCGCGACTCTCGTTTAATCATTATCAAGTGTTAAGGGGTGGGGGTGGCGGGGGGTTGGGGTCGATCGCTTTTAATCACTCGTTCAAAAATCAGCAGCGCTCCCAAAATGGAAATGACGACATGTAGATTAGCTCGCCCGTTTTGAATATGAAAGCAATTCAACACGTTTGGCAAATGCATGACAAAATACGAGTGGTAAACAATGTTATTTCTTGTTCATGCTGACTTATTGATTTGCCTATGCTCACCGTCACTATTTTTAATCATTGCACAATTTACCCAGGTGGAAAAAAAAAAAAACATTTGCGAACACGTGTGCTAACTGCGCTCCAGCATTGGACGCAATAATCCAAACCCACCCTAATTTAACTCTATCTTGACACCCAAACCCCAACCGTAGCGGCCCTCGAGGGCCGGAGTTGCTCATCCCTGATCCAAACTGTGAAAAAAATTTCAACCTCCCCTGACTCAGACTTTGACCTTGTTCCAAATCCAAAATTCCAGTGTGTGTTGCAGACAACGCGGCCACTGCGCAGAACACAGAAGCACTTCGGCTTAATGTCGCCCAATTTGAACAGTCCTCTCCATTGACCTTTGCCCATCACTGTTATTGATCCACGGGGACTTTAAAACAAGTCTTACAAAAACTGACTTTGCGCTTTGTATCAAAGGGCGGCAAAGCTCATCAAGATATCCCGAAGAGTGCTTTTCGAAAAGTTAATGGTCCAATTAAAACGTCCGCTCGCGGTGACAAATTCCGTTGGGAAAATGCAGCGGGCTCCAAATCAGC